GTGTTGGAGAAGACTCTTGAGAGTCCCTTGGACTGCAAGGAGATCCAACCAGTCCATCCTAAAGGAGATCAGTCCTGGGTGTTCATTGGAAGGACTGACGCTGAAGCTGAAACTCTGATACTTTGGCCACCTTATGCGAAGAGTTGACTCATTGGAAGAGACCCTGATGCTGGGAGGGATTGGGGGTAGGAGGAGAAGGGGACGACAGAGGATGAGATGACTGGATGGTATCACCGACTCGATGGACATGAGTTTGAGTAAACTCTGGGAGTTGGTGATGGAGAGGGAGGCCTGGCATTCTGCAGTTCATGGGGTCGCAAAGAGTCAGACACAACTGAACGACTGAACTGAACTGAACTGAGAAGGCATTCAAACTTTAGTTTGCAGTCATGAAATAGAAGACAAATGGGCCCCAGGCTAAGCATTTACAACTGGCCACCTGCTTACATATCTTGTGGCAGGAAAAATGTGGACTTCAGGCTGGATAATTACCACTAGCCTTCTGTTTGCATTTCCTGAGACAGGAGTTAGGTGGGCTCCAGGTTAGGCATTTACAATCAGCCTCCTGTTTGCCCTCCAAAATGTAAGTAACAACAGATACAGGGTAAATTAGCCAGACTTTGTCTCCTGTGGATACCTTAAGATAATAGGCATGGTAGGAAAAGAGAAGGGCTAAATTGTGAGTAAAGTATCAAGAGGCCATATATTTTTCTTCCTTGTGGCGGGGGAAAAATTGCACATGTACAGAAAGGCTCCTTGGGGGGTCAAAAGTCAGGGGATGATGCCAGACCCTAATGAGCCTTGCTTCTCCCAGATGCCTTTATATCAAGACCCATCTTGGCTGAAAGGTGTGCACACCTAGGGTAAAGATCCTGAAACAAATTAGTGAGGAGGGAAAAGCAGGATAGTTGGCAGAAGGAAGACAAAGACCAGAAGAACTGTCCTATAAAAGTGACTTAACCACCTCTTTAATGTGCTCCTCCTCGCTAGGAGGACACCCACACTCTTTCTCCCCAGGTATGCATCTCTCCCTTGCTTTTATCTTAACTAAACAAACTGCTTCTCTGTGTGCTCTCCCACTTGTTCTTGTGCTATGTCTCTAATAACAAACTTTGTACCTGCATTTACAATTTTTACTTCTGTGAGAGATGCATTTTTCACTGGGGAGAGTCAGAGGAAAATAGTTTCTAGCCTCTAGCCCTAACTGGTCTGGTGGCTAGGATTCCTGGTTTTCATCCAGGCTCAGTTCAGTTCAGTTCAGTTCAGTTCAATCATTCAGTCGTGTCCGACTCTTTGCAACCCCACATCCAGGCTACCCAGTTTCAATTCCTGGGCAGGGAATTAACATCTCGCTTCATGCCACCACTCACTGCTGCCTCATCAAGATCAGTCAGGCATGTTCTTATGCACTCGTGTGAAGAGCATTTACATGGCGT